TCCGGGATGTCTTCGATGGCCTTGATCTTATCGAGGTTTACCTCAATCCCCCTTTGTGATACCAGAAATCCAAGGAACTTGCCAGAGCTGACACCGAACGTGCATTTCTCGGGTTTAAGCTTCATGTTATGATTCCTTAAGACGTCAAAGGTGTCTTGCAGATGCTTAAGATGATCACATGCATTCAAAGTCTTAACGAGCATATCGTCTATATAAACTTTCATAGTTTTCCCTATTTGTTTTTCAAACATCTTGTTTACGAGTCGCTGATAAGTGGCTCCGGCGTTCTTCAAACTGAATGGCATCACATTATAGCAATATGTGCCGAAATTTGTTATGAACGAAATCTTTTCCTGATCCTCCAGGTTCATCTTAATTTGGTTGTACCCGTAGTAAGCATCAAGGAAACTCATTAACTCGTGCCCGGCCGTTGCATCGATCATTTGATCTATGTTTGGCAGTGGGAACGAGTCTTTCGGGCATGCCTTATTCAAGTCCTTATAATCTACGCACATACAAAATTTATTGTTCCTTTTAGGAACTACTACTACGTTAGCTAACCAGTCTGGATACTTTACCTCTCGGATCGAATCGATATCAAGTAAGCGAGTTACCTCTTCTTTGACGAATTTATTTTTGGCCTCCGCAATAGGGCGTTTCTTTTGCCTTGCCGGAGGTATGTTGCGATCCAAACTTAGCTTGTGTACGGCCACCTCCGTTGGGATACCTGTCATTTCTGCATGCGACCACGCAAAATAATCGGTAGGGGTGTTCATGGTTCGGTTTGGATCGGTTTTTCCCTAAAAAGAAACCAAACCAAGTAAGTCGGTTTTTCAGTTATTAGAACCAAACCAAACTAATTAAGTCGGTTTTTTCTCGATTCGGTTTATGTCGGGTTTTGTCGGTTTTTCGACTTTTTCGGTTATTTGTTGGTTTTTTCTTAAATATAAGACATACACTACCAAACACATACTGACGACCACATTTCAACGTAACACTATCAAATCAATTGCCCTTTGAGAAATCTATTATTTACCAAGACATATTAATGATAATTGAATCAAATAGTGATGAATAATTTAAGGACTCAATTAAAAATATATTATTTTTAACACGAAATGGATTCTTACACTTAACAAAAAAAAACTACCAATCAATCTAGAATGTAAAGGTAAAGAACTATACTAAAAGTGCAAACTATTAACATTTACCATTAAATTTTTGAAACTTTTTTTTTTGATTAACTCATATTGTATTAATCAAAGTATAACTGTACAAGCCATGTAGCTGTTGACCAGCTACAATCTATACTCGACTATGCTCCTCCTAGTTACAATTGCATTGTTATTCTAACCAACTAGGCAAACTACTACTGAAACTCTAATTACAACCAATTGTACAGACAATTACATGAAACTCAAGCAAAACTATCAAGCCTCTGTAGTGTCCTCTGCCACTTTAGTTGCCTTCTTCCTCTTGTGTGTACATGTAGGACTATTTCTCTGCATAATCTTTGCTCCTCAAAAATACCCTGCTGAAATCTTATCATGTTTCTCTCCCTCCATATACTATATACCAGCATCGCAAACACATAACTGATGATTGTTGCTTTCCCTGTCTTTTTCCTGGCCATATTGCTTGCCCAGTTTAGTGCTTCTCTCCATCCCTTTATGCTTCTCTTCATGTCAAGCCATAGTAATAGCCTTGCCCATACTCTATTTGTGACTGGGCATTCAAAGAAGAGATGGTGCAGTGTTTCTGTGACAGCTTTGCAGAAGACACAATCCTGTGGCACCTGTATTCCCATCTTACTTAGTCTTTCCATAGTAGCTAGTCTTTCATGTGCAGCCAACCATGTTATAAATCTATATCTGGGGTGGATGTTTGTCTGCATGATTATGCTCCTCCATTGAACTTTCTGGTACTGGGGCATCAACATGAAGTATGCTTGCTTTATAGAAAATTTGCCCTGTACCAATAGTGGCTTCATTTTATCACACAGGGTCCCCTGTACCTGTTGTTGATGTAAGTCTTCCCTTGTCTCTATTGTTTTCCTGATTACCCAAGTTGCAGTCTTAGGTATAGGCATGTCATCCAAATTCTGTTTCTTAATATAGTAGTTATGGACCCATTTTATCCACAAACAGTCTTTTTTCATTGCAACTCCCCATAGTTGTTTCATCACAGCAGCCTTGTTCCATAGTCCTAAGTTGATGACATTCAATCCTCTTGTAGATGTAGGCCTGCATATTTGTTCCCATGCTATCAGTGCTTTCCTTGTGAACTTGCTTCTCCTGTCCACAAAAAGGTTCTGCAAACTGCATCAATCATCTTCATGACTTTCTTAGGGAGCAGGAATATCTGTGCCCAGTAAGTTTGGATGCCAAATAGTACAGACTTTATCAATTGAAGTCTGCCAGAATATGATAACAATCTTGCTGACCAGCATCTGATTTTATCAGTTATCTTCTCTATTAGGGGCAAGCATTGGTTCACAGTTAGCTTTTTAGAGGATAGTGGAACCCCTAAATATCTGAATGGTAATTTACCCTCTTCAAATCCCAGCATGTTCAATATTTCCTGCTTTCCATCTTCAGTCACTCCAGCTAGATAGATAGAGCTCTTGTCTTTGTTTTCTTGTAAACCAGTAGCTTCAGAGAATTTTTGAAACACCTCTTGGAGTAGGCTGATGGATCCAATGTCTGCCCTGCAAAACATAAGCAGATCATCTGCAAAGCAGATCATCTGCAAAACAGATGTGAATTATACCCAGCTTCCTGCATCTAGGATGGAAATTAAAATACCCATTCTCTGCTAGCATCATCATTTCCCTATTCAAATATTCCATTGCAATTACAAAGAGGTATGGGGACATAGGGTCCCCTTGTATGATACCTCTTTGTCCTTGAAATGGTTTGGTGAGACCTCCATGTATCACTAGAGAGTATGAGACAGTTGTAACAGATTCCATAATCCATTCAATGAATCTGAATGGGAAGCCAAGATCACTGAGCATTCTCCTCAAGAAACTCCAATCTATAGTATCATAGGCCTTCCTAAGATCCACTTTCATGACACATCTAGGAGACACCCATTTCCTATTGTATCCTTTGAACAGTTCATGACTGAACAATATGTCGTCAATGATGCTTCTTACTTCTACAAAAGCTGATAGTGACTGGCTCACTATGCTCCCAATCACCCTCTTAATTCTCAGCTGTAGTATCTTTGCTATGATTTTGTATAGGGTGTTACAGCATGCAATAGGTCTGTAGTCTTTAACTAATGTTGGTGAACTAACCTTGGGTATCAAGGTGATTGCTATACAGTTCACCTTCTTCTGCATCTTTCCTGTTTCAAAAAAATTCAGTATTGCATCATATATATCATTCTTCACTATCTCCTAGTTCCTTGTGAAGAATTCTATTGGGAAACCATCTATCCCTGGAGCTTTATCTGTTGGCATGTCTTTGATAGCATTGTCTATTTCTGTAAGTGTCACTGTCATTATCATTTCTAATTGTTGCTCCCTTGTCAACACTGGCCCTTTTTTAATGATCTCTGAATTTGGACATTTGATCTCACCACTACAGCTCCCCATTAATCCTTTGAACACAACCATGAATTCTGATTCCACTTGCACTGGGTCTGTGAGTTTAATGCCTGTCTCTGTATAAATGGAGGAGATTGTGTTCTTGCTTTGTCTAATCTTCCACTGGGCATGGAAGTATTTTGAGTTACTGTCACCATACAGGATCCAATTTGCTCTGGATTTTTGTCTAAGTACTTGTTCTTCAATATTGCTCCATCTATCTAAATCAGCTAGGATCTCTTTCTCCTGATCAAATAGGCTCTGACAAAATGGTTGAACATTTATGTTTGCTTGCACAATCTCCAGCTTTTGTCTAGCTTGATTCAGCCTTTGCTGATAGGATGCCATATAATGATTAAGATCCTTCAGTTCATGCTTCAGCTCCTGCAACTTTCTGCTGACCTTCAACATGGCATTCATATTCTTATTCTGCCCCCATACTTTCTTTAGTCGTGCATGAAACTCAGGGTGTTCCATGACATTAACAAAGAACTTAAATGGCTTTGGGTACATTCTTCTCTTCTCTCCACACCTCATTATCACAGGGGAATGATCAGATACTCCAGGGTTTAGGAAATCTGCCTCAATGTGATCATATTGTTGCATCCATTGAAAATTGCCCAGAGCCCAATCTATTTTGCTATAAACTCTACTTCCCACAGGCTTTTTGTTGCACCAAGTAAAGTGCCTACCTATTGACCTTATGGGTGTCAATTGCAGGCTATTTAGCAATTCCTGGAACCCTTGTACCTCCTTAGCTGTAACTGGTTGCCCAATTCTATCATCAGTGGTAAGTCCATTATTGAAATCACCACTTAGGAGCCAAGCATTACCAATTTGCTTCCCAAACTGTTGCAGTTCACTCCATAATTCCTCCATCTCTTGCAGTGTGTTTTTAGCATATACCACTGTAAATTCTGTGGTGAATTGAGTTGAACTTTCCTCTATTGAATAGTGTATGTACTGATCCTTTATAGTTTGAATCTGTACATTTATACTTTCTTTCCATAGAAGCCAAATTCTGCCATTTACTGTTGTGTTATATTACAGCAGTACTTCCAACCCCTGGCTACTTTTTGCAAGATTTTCTTTGCTTTCCCTTCTTTTACTCTAGTTTCCACACATCCCATGAGATCTATTTTTTGTCTTTCCAGAAAGAGCTTCAACTCCTTCTGTATTGAGAGCTTGTTCAGCCCTCTGATATTCCATGTGCATACTATCATAGGGGTTCTGCTACCTTCTGACCATCTACAGGTTTGTCCCCTGTAGTTTTAGGCTCCTTAATTCTCAGAACAACAAATCTGTTTGCTCTCATTATCATCACAGGATCATGCAGCATAGGCTCTTGTATAGCTTTGTTCTTGCCCTTTGCTTATGTACTAATCTCTTGCTCATTTTGCTGCCCCTTCTAGTTCTGCTGTTGGAAAGCATTTTGTTGTGCCTCCCCTTCTGCTGCTACATGTTGAGTTTCTTCTTGGTTTGCCCCATGATTTTCCTCTAATACTTTAACCATCCATACTGGCCTCTTTTTTCTATTTCTTCTCCTTTTCCTCTTAGTTACTTCCTGGTAGGTATCTTCCTTTGTTCCTGGCTCAATTCTTCTACAGTTTTCTGCATCATGGCCAAATTTTATGCAGTCTACACAAAATTTTGGCCTCCAGTCATATGTCACCTGTTGCTGGAAAGTTCCAAAAGGCGTGTCAAGCTCAATACATTCAGGCAAAGGTTGAGCAACATCCACTTCAATCAAAACTCGAGCATAATAGATCCTCTCCATGTCAGCAGTTGTTTTATATGTATATAGTGGTTTCCCAATTCCACTGGCCAATTTGCCTAGTGCCTCAGGGGACCAATATCCCACTGGTAGTCCTGGGAATTTTACCCACAATGGAATAGTGCTAAGGCACTCTGGATCAAAATAGAAGTCAATTTCCCAGTTCCTCAAGATCATCGGCTTGTTGTGGTATGTATATAGCCCAGATTGCAGAACCAAATCCCTATCCTCAATTGTTTGGAACTTGAATATATAGTATCCCTCTTCATGGTACAAAATTTTAGGTTTAGCAACAAAATTCCATACCGTACTCACATAGTTGTCCATTGATCGAACATATGGTGTGTCCCCCAGCACATATCCGATTAGTGCAGAATTCCACACCTCTTTCTGCGTTTTGATGTCATCCTCCACAATCTTCACCACCACTTTGCCATCCCTGATTGATGGAGGAACATAGGTAAGTGGTTTACCCATTTGTGAAACACGGTTGTTCTTTAGTCCTTCATTTCGTTCATTCTGGTCCGTCATCACCTCACTTCTGGGTTGCTTATCAGTTCCAATTTCAGAAAATTGGAGTCGCCTTGGTTCATGAATTTCCTTCTTAACTTGTTCCTTACCTCCTCTTGCAAGAGGATTTGAGCTGGATCAATCCATTCTGTTTCAACTTCACTCTCCTCTTCAATTGATTGAAACTTCGAAGGTAAGAAGCTTACAAACGTCAATGGAGTTTTCCTCCTTAGTATTCCAGTTGCCGGCGTAATCATCGCCTCCGTCGTAGTCACCGGACGGTTATGGCGGTTATTGGTCATTTTTTCAGTTACCAATGTATGTTAGCATACCAGCTTAACATGCGCCGAGAGAAAAAAACTTTGGCCACTTTCCTAAGTAAGTAAGTAAATCAACTTTGAGCCCATCTTACTCACTAGTTGTCCAGAGTAAAGCAAAATAATTTTTGAAACTTTATATAAAACTACACACACACACACACACACACACATACACACACACACACACACACACACACACACATACACACACACACATATATATATATATATATATATATATATATATAGGTAGGTGTAATAATAAATTTGAAATAGCTACTCCTATAGCCAGGTTGGTTCGGTTTTTTTCCGATTTTTTTCCTGATTAAAACCAAAACCAAACTAAATTTGATCGATTTTTAAAATTCAAAACCAAAACCAAACCAAACAAAAAAGTATCGGTTTTTTTGGTCGGTTTGGTTTGGTTTTCGGTTTGGTTTGATTTTTTAGATTTTTATGAACACCCCTAACAATCGACATTATATTTAAGAAATTCAATAAAGCCAGACCAGAGCTCGGGGTGCAGTCCTGTCCCCAAGTGGAATTTCCTTTCTAAAAACTCTTCGAACAATGCGACTTGATCAAGCTCCTACATCGTGGATTTAGTTGCATCCGCCTCTTCTGGTACCTGGAAATACCTTGGCACCCGATAAGATTTCGACGCTTCTACCCCCGGGCTAACTTCATTCGATTCGGGAGTGGGCGCCGGTTCTTGTAGTTGCTATGTTGCGTGCTCCTTCCCTTTGCTAATGGAGACCGAAATCGCATTCATCTCCTTTGCTGCCGGTTGGTCACCCCTTATCCATTTAATCCATTCGGGTGTTGGAAATTTCAGCAATTGATGATACGTTGATGGTGCAACTTTCATCTCGTGCAACCATGGTCTTCCTAGAATAATACTATATCTCATATCATCATCTACCACTTCAAAAAGAGTCATTTTCATCACTCCTTCGGCATTCATGGGCAACAAAATCTCTCCTCGGGTTGTCACGCTCGCGAGGTTGAATTCGGCGAGGAGTTTTGTGGCTGGAATGATGCTTCCGGTGAGTTTAGCTTGCTCAAATACTCTTCATCGTATGATATTGGCCGAACTTCCTAGATCCATTAGAACACGTTTGATTTTAAAGTCTAGCACATTTAAAGAAATTACCATTACGTCGTTGTGTGGTAGCAGCAATCCGTCTGCGTCCTCCTCCGTAAAAGTGATGTCGTCTTCGACAACTTCCTGGAGTCTCTTGCTATGGGTTATTGATACTTTCATCTTTTTTGTTGCCGAGAAGGTGACCCTACTGATCTCGTTCCCCCCGAAGATCATGTTGATCATCTGGTGCGGGGGATATTCCCTTACTTTCGGGGGTTCCGCGTTATCCCAGTTGCGACCGTAGTTGTTCTTGGCCTGGTCACTTAAGAATTCTCTGAGATGACCATTCTTTAGTAGTGTCTCTACTTCTTCCCAGAGATGTCGGCAGTCCCAAGTCTGGTGGCCACCTATGGTGTTCACATCACAAGTTGGGATCCCTATGGCTGGGATCGGATCTGATTGGCCTTGGGAACCGTGCTTCTTTGATATTTCTCATAGCGGATACTAGCTCTACTACACTGACGTTAAAATTGTATTCTGAAAGCCTGGGGTAGGAAGGATCCCGCGTACCTGATGCTTCTTTGTCCTGCAATGACCTATTATTCAGACCGCTATCAGTCCTTCTGTCGGTATGGAACCTGTCTGCTGATCGAAAACCTCTGTCACGACCCTCGATCTGTTCGTAGGGCAAAAAGCGGCCCCTCGAAGACCGTCTATCCGTGTCGAAATCGTCTTTTGATTTTTCTTTGTTCTTCTCCCGTCCCCATGCCGGCGACGGGAAACCAACTTGATCATCCTCGATTCTTATCTTTGACTCGTATCGATTGTGGACATCCGCCCAAGTCGTTGCTTGAAACTCAAGCAAGCTTTCCTTTAGTTTTCGGGAAGCTCTGAATTCTCGGATTCAGTCCCTTGGTTAATGCTTCAGCCGCCCATTCATCCAGAACAGCGGGGAGCAACATCCTCTCCTTTTGGAAACAGGTAACGAACTCTCGCAGCAACTCAGATTCTCCTTGTGTGATTCTGAATATGTTGGCCTTTCGGGCTTGCACCTTTCTGGCCCCAGCATGAGCCTTAGTAAAAGAATCCACGAGCATCTCAAAGGAATCTATGGAATACTCTGGTAACAATGAATACCACGTCAAGTCTCCCCTCGTGAGAGTCTCTCCAAATTTCTTCAGCAAAACATATTCAATCTAGAGAGGAGCTAAATCATTTCCCTTCACCGCCATTGTATAGGTGGTAATATGCTCATGAGGATCTGAAGTTCCATCATACTTTGGCACGTCGGGCATTTTGAACCGCTTCGGGATTAATTCTGGTGTCGCGCTTGGTTTGTATGACAATTGAGTGTATTTTTTTGAGTCCGGTCATTCACCTCTCTCATAAATCGTAAAAGTTCATTCTTGAAGGGATCATTTTCGTCATTGGGGACGGATCCGCCCCCCCCCCCCAGCTCCATCAGAACCAACCTCGCTCCTCGAGGTGTTGTTGTTGACCCTCTGCATTGTTCGATTAGTAGGAGCGCTGGGAGGAACTGGGTCTTGTCTATTCGCGTTATTAGAAGCCCCCAATAACGCCTGTTTCAACTCCATCATAACTTTATCCTGCCGTGTGAGGTGGCCTAGAATGATCGCTTGTTGCTCTAGTAAGACCCTTACCGCATCAACAACATGCTCCTCTTTAGCATCATTAAGAGTTTCCTCCCGAATATGTCGCGGGTATTGCCTGTCGTAGACTGGGGTGGCATCGTTCCCCTCATTGTGGGTGTCAGTGATTGAATCCTCGAAATGAGGTTGGTCTCCTCGAACCTCAGGATTGTGTGTGTTGTTAACACCGTTATCTGCCATTTCTTATGATTTTTGATAAGACAAATAATCAAAACACGTTAGTAAAAGATGCAAGGATCAACTAAATTATATGGCTGTCTAGGCCCCACGGTGGACGCCAAACTGTTTACCCGTAAAACGGTACAATTAAATTTATACGTAGTTTTCTAGACAAGTGAATTAATTTGATCCTGTAATAATGAAAGAATTAACGAAATGTGCAATACTTAGCATTGAAATGCAGATGAAATCACGGAAAACAGAAATTCCGGGGGCAGACTTCCAGGCCGAACAATGATGAAGCTAAAGAACAAGAAAATAAAATTGTATAAAGCTTGAAATATATTATAGCATAAGTTTGCAGAAAAAGTCGTGTCCTGACAATGGTAATAGAGCTCACTATTTATAGTTACATCTAGGGAATAAGGACCTAGGATCAAGCCCCTCTTCAATGCCAATTATGAGTGCCATTGAAGAGTGTGTATGTCACGACCCTAGTTCACCGACTGCGAACATGTCATGACGGCATCTAGTCCCCACGACCAGGTAAGCCTAATATTGCGGAAATATAATAATTGCGGAAAAATAGAGGAAACCAAATTAAATACTAAAGAAACTGTACTGAATGTCGCACGGCATGTACAACTCAATATCACAAGTTCAAAACAATCCCCAAAACCCGGAAACTCACGGGCAACACAGGCTACAGAAGCGAAAAGTAAAGGCTCCAAACTCCAGAATATCTAACAACCGGAAGAAGAAAAACTAAGTACTAGAGATAGAGTGAGAGGGAGACTCGTCGGTCTGCGGACGCAGCAGATCTACCTCGAAGCCTCCGTAGTCCTCCTGCCTCACTGATAGTGCGCCTGAGTAGAGGTAACTGGATGATCTGCACATGAAAAACATGCGCAGGAAGGGCATGAGTACACCACAGCGGTACTCAGTAAATGCCAAGCCTAACCTCGGTTGGGTAGTGACGAGGAAGGTTAGGGCCATACTGAGACAAAATATAGTAATAACAATAATTAACGGTATGATAATCTGACAGAAATAATAAATACAGTAGTGAAATAAGGCAGGTCAACGAGACAATAACAACCACAAAAGGACAGAGCAAACACAGAGTAAATACAACTCAATACCAATGATAACAATGAGGGTCTCCCAGGATACCGTCCTGTATCCCTTTCCTCAACTGTCCAGTGGATCTCCCGGGATACCGTCCCGTAGTCCAACTCGTATACCAAACCGAAGGATCTTCCGGGATACTGTCCCGTAGTCCAACCATCAAAAATGCATGGGGATCTATCGGGAATCTAACCCGCAGTCCCAAAGTAAAAGTGCAGGGGGATCTACCGGGAATCGAACCCGTAGTCCCAAAGTAAATAACCAAGGGGGAGGGAGCTACCGGAATCCCACATCCGTAGTCCCAATGTAAATGCGCAACCACAGCCAGAAACAAACCAAGGAATAAAGCACGAAAGACAGAGCAACAGATAGAATTAGCCTAGCATGCTTCACATAGTACAGTCAAACAACTTAAGCAATTAGGCAGTTAAGTCAGCTAAACATGCTTTCCAAATCTAGCACAAGTATAATTTCAAGTAGGATAAGGCAAGTAGTAAAGAAAGCTAAATATCAACAACTTAAGTGAAAACCAGATTTTTCATCAATCGGCTCAAGTACGTGCTGTCACCTCACGACAAGGCACTCAAATATCAAGAAAAACAATCCTAAGGGGAAAAGTCCCCCACACAAGGTTAGATAAGCCACTTACCTCGAACCGAC